AAATGGGGCTAGGAATATGAATAGTGTCATATCTTGATACACTAGAGCTGGCCCAGACAACCTTATTTATCAGACGACCTTATTTATCAGATGAAGAAGGTGAGACTCAGAGAGGGTTTGTGACCCTGGCTAACATTATAGGCAACCCAAGATGACCCACTTTGGCACCAGGTTCGTGCAAATTCAAATTCACATGAGAGACAGAAGTTGAATCAATTCTAGCATTTGCAGCAGCAATTAGTAGTCTGGCCACACAACCAGCTCAAGTCCAAAGTGGCTCTCGTTGGAAGCCACTGGCTTTGGTAGTTATCAAGGGAAGAGATTTAGCTTCTAGCAAAATTGCACCTGAGTCCTGTAACTGAAGACTACAGAACCCTGGCAACAGAACAAAAGCTTGCAGTGAATTGGGGATAGATCAGAAAGAGCTTTAAACTCTGGGTAAGAAGTCTTGTGGAAGAGTCCAATTCTGGTTCAAAAGAAAAGGTCTCAAAGGCAACTGAAGTGATGATGATTTTTGGTCAAGAATTACAGGGCACAGTCTATCACAGGGGAGGCAGATTTCCATTGGCATAAGTTTCCTTGATGGAGTCCAGGAGTGTAAGTGCAGGTGTCCCCAGACTTTCTCCCTACCCAGTTCCCACTTGTACCCCACACCTTAAAGTGCCACCATTGACAAGGACAACATAATCATCATGACTGGGTTGATGCCAGCCCAGAAAGTAAATTTCTCAGCATTAGACAGAGAAGTAGCTAAGGCTCAAAAGAATGCCCTGTGACATTTTAATAGAAATAGATTAGCCAGTTCCTTTTGCTCTCATTACTTATAGGGAGTTTGTAACTGAATAATTAAACAATAAATCCGTATTTATTTATTTTAAATTTATAGGAGCAGCTTCTCTCCAGATGAAACACAGACTTTATTAGGATTTCTTTTGCTTCTTCTTAATATTTCCTCTTCTATATTCCTTCCACCCTACATTCAAAGCGCCTCCTAATTCCCTCCATGTGAGCATTTTATGCCCACATTCATTACTGGAGAAAAAAAGAGACATCATTTTACCATAAAATTTAAATATATAATTTCCTCCAGAAAGCAAGTGCAGTAAAACAGTCAAGTTAAATTCTGTCATTTTATCTGTTTTGAAAAAAAGGTACCTTTATTTTCCAGACGTAAAACACTCAAGTGCCACAACGATTTATTTGTTTATTTTCCATGAAAAAATTATGATTTTGAAAGACAGTACATTTTTACTAATAAGTTCAGGATAGTTTAAATAGCTCATCATCACAATGCCATCAAATCAGAATCGACTTATAACTGACCAGCCAGTGGGTTTTTGGAGGCAGTAAATTGCATGGGAGGAGACAGCCTGTCCTTATGACCAGAAGCCACTAGTGGATTTGAACTGCCAGAGAGGCATGATGTTTAGATTAACAATATAATACCTTACTGATTACATTGCCGTAGGTTCCCTAAGGACATATAGGATACCACTTTTTTCCTATAAAAGTTAAAATAATATGATAGAATTTTAGGGCTGGGAGAAAAGGCATAGATAGATATAGGAAACCTCCAACCCAACTATTATGTAGATGAAGAAATTGAAACATAGAGAGACCAAATCATTCATACAATCAGGTCAAAGTTTCCCATTAGGTTAGGAAAATCTCAATCCAATTTAGTAATTCTTAATTTAGATCTCTATCCACTACATCCTCTCTCTTTAATCTCTCTCTCTCTCTCTCTCTCTCTCTCTCACACACACACACACCACACACACACACTTTCTAGGCAAGGGCATGGGATCCTGCTTGGTACAAGTGATTAAGGCTCTTGGTTGCTAATCCAAAGTTTAGAGGTTCAAGTTCACCAGAGGAGTCTTGGGAGAAAAAGGCATAGTGATTTAATTCCATAAAAATCAGCTGGGGAAAACTCTCTGGAGCACAGTTTTATGTGGCGCACACAGGACCAGCATGAATCAAAGTCAAATCGACAGAAATTTATCTGTAAATGTATACACATGAGAAAGATTTGCTGAAAAGGAACTTCACGTTATTAAGTCTCAGCAATATGTAATACAAATTCACTAAAGAACTTTTGCACCATTATCCAAATCCAAAACTGGTGGCGTCCTTCTTGAGAATGTTCCTTTGCTTTCTAATAAGGTCTCAAGAAAGACTAGAAACCAGTAGGGATTGTATCTTTTGAAAAGTGCCTAGACCAGGACATGCTCTAGATTTTCAGTGAATAATGATAATTATCCTAAAGAACCTGGATTCTTAGAAAAATTAGGAGAAGTCAGGAAACAGTCACATAATCAGGAGGAAGAATGTGAGAAGAATGAGGAAGAGAAGGAGGGACAAATTTTCAGCTTCCCTTCTGCCTCAGACACTCCAAGGTCACACCCTGTTTTTCATTTCAGATCAAAGAGGTGGCATCTGGAAGCCACTGATTAAGAGTTCTTGGCTCAAGGTCTCATCTACTCATGAAAGATTAGGAACAAAAGAACATAAGAACTATTAACATTTTACTTCCTCCCTTCAGTCATACAGTGACAGTTGGGTAAATTAGGAGTTAATTTTAAAATTCTGATTCTTCTAAGTCTCTTTCAGATGCCTGACCTAGCCTCCTCTCCATTACTCACCTAAAGCAGCGAAATTCATACTTTCATTAAATAAAATTCATTATATAAAACAGTCATTACTGGATAAGGAAAATCATTGAGATATTAACAGTAGAATAATTCTCTTAATTATTAATAGATATTGAAAGCTGCTTAGTGCACTGACTTGTTCAAACTCCAAATTACTGAAGTACCACTAATGTATTAAAATTTCATTAACTCAACCTAATAACAACAAATATATTCAAAGGGTACATTTGTTGTTGTTGTTGATTGCCTTCAAGTAGAACACGACTCATAGCGACCCTATGAACAAAAGACCTAAAGCCTTATGCACACCTATGTTTATCACGACTTAGTTCACAATAGCAGGAAGTCAACTTGAGTGCCCATCAACAAACAAATGGATAGAGAAGCTGTGGTATAGTCACAGAATGGAATACTACACTGCATTGAAAAACAAGGAATTAATGAAATATTATTCAAAATAGGTGATCCTGGAAGACATTATGCTGAGTGAAATATATTAGCACAAAAGGACAAATACTGCATGTGCCACTGTTGTAAAACAGGACTGACATCGGGTTGAGGAGAGACTGAGAAAGATGGGGTAAATAATGTTTACTGCATTGAAACAGATGAGGGAGAAAACTGTTTAAAAGGGATATGTGATTAGGTGTTATTGTCATAACAGGAGTCCAGAACGAAGGCTGCATAGTGGAGTGGATCTAGAGGGAGGGATTGTAAAACAATGAAAGAATTTTTCTTTTACTTTGCGAAGAGAAGAGTGTACTGGGGGAGGGAGGACAGGGAGAAAAGTGCAACAATGAATGAATGGAAATTCAAAGTCTCTGTAAATTTTCATTAAAATTAATAAGAAGAAAAAGATCTGAAGCCTTTCTATAACTATTTTAATTTCTCAAAGTTCATAGAGTTTCCAGAGGCATGCTGCTTAGGAAGTGGATGCCGCTCCTGCTTCCAAACCTGTCTTAAACTGGGAGCCCACCAAACACTGTCCACCATGGGTAACCATTATGACATTTGACACCCCAAAGGCATGAGGTTCAGCATCACAGCAACCCCAGGTTACCTCAGTACAGCATATTCACAGGAGAGTGCTATACTATTAGAAGAATGTTCCTCCAAAATATAATAACAACTAACTTTAAAGACAAAGGCCCTCCCCAGAGGTCTTGTTGACTCTAAACAAGAGACTTTAAATAAATAAATAAAACCCCGATATAGTAGGTTGTTGTTGTTGTTATGTGCCATTAAGTGACCTGCAAACTTCCAAATCAGAGGAAGCCAGAGAAATACAAATTGGCATTATTCAATAAAAATCTGAAAAAAAAAGCGTGAATCTATATAAGGTGCAAACAGAGAAGGAAAATTCAAACATTGTTCCTTTAAAATGAGTAACAGAAAAGCAGCAGTGCCAAATGTAGAAGACTTTCAAGAACTTAAAAAATAAGGAAATTTTAAAAAATACCAAACCCAAAACCAAAACAAAAAAAGGAAAAAAAACAAACAAGGAAATCCTTTCAGTTCAACTCACACAAGTTTTACGGTAGAAATTTTCTGCAAAAGCTGGAAAATTTACTAATCAGAATCATGTTACTAAGGAATTCTTTAATAAGACAGATTGGCACAGTGAAATAATGGGCTTGAACAATGCTGCGACCATGCAGTGGAGCAGGACAGGGCAAGGTTCTGGTCTGTGATCTGTTGTTCTTCGGGTATTTGTAACTAGCAGTGGATTCCAAGGCATGCGGGTTTGCCATGCATCTAAAGGGACTTGCTGGTAACTAACAGCAGCAAATTCTCAACCTCTCCCAGATACAGCCAGAAGAAACATCTTCACCATACAGGGCAGAAGACTTGATAAAGAGGTTTGGTGTTGGTACTCTTGGAGCAGAGAAGCCCACTTGTCATTACTGGAAACATCATTTTGACAAATGTTACTCCTCAGGCTTGTAATCTCTCTATCTTTAGCTGATAGATCCTCTCATCAAATGACCTTGGCAGTGGGAAACAAGGCAGAAATCCCCTGCTGTGTAACTAAATGCCAACCTGGGCTTCCTTTAGCATTGAGGAGAACTGTCAGAGAACTGCCAGGCTGCCTGATGATCCAAGGAGATAAATCTATGACAATCAAACCTCATTCTTTGTTTCTTCTGTTCAAAATCCAAACCACTTGTGGACCTTCTTCATCCATTTAGTTGTTGGTAGCTGAGGCTCTGTCTCACTTACTTTGAGCATGTTGTTAGGAAAGACCTGTCCTTGGAGAAGGATAGTATGGTTGGAAGAGTAGAGAGTGAGCACATAAGAGGAAGAGCCTAGGCCGCTGCCGCCCGCCCCGCAGCCTCGCTGGGCAGGATGAACGTCGTGGACCACGTGCGGGACATGGCGGCCGTGGGGCTGCACTCCAACATGCGGCTCCTCAGCAGCTTGTTACTGACGATGAGTAACAACAACCCGGAGCTCTTCTCCCCATCTCAGAAGTACCAGCTTTTGGTGTATCACGCAGACTCTCTCTTCCACGATAAGGAATATCGGAATGCCGTGAGTAAGTACAGCATGGCTCTACAACAGAAGAAGGCGCTGAGTAAGACCTCCAAGGTGAGGCCTTCCACGGGGAGTTCAGCCTCTACGCCTCAGAGTCAGGTAATGGAGCTGCAAGGCGGGACCTTCGGGGCTTGGCGGTTTTGAGAGAGAGAGACTGAAAGAATTAGATGTTAATATGTTTAAAATGAATTTTCAGGAGGGGCTGACTGGAGAAAGGAAGATTAAAAACGGTTTTTAAATGCTTGTGTGTTTTGATTGTGTTAACCATGCATTTAGGTCTAAGAGCAGTGTTCTCTCTATAGGACTCGGAAAATGTAGTGACAAAACAACTGTGAGGTATCATCTCACCCAGTCAGAATAGCAAAATTTAACAAACAGCAAACAAATACTGGCGAGGTTGTAGAGAAACCGGAACCCTTATTCACTGTTGGTGGGAATGTAAAATGGTGCAACTGTTGTGGGAAGCGGTATGGCGCTTTCTCAAAAAGTTGCAAATAGAGATACCATTTGACCCAGCAATTCCACTACTGGGAATATACCCCAAAGAAACCATAACTGA